GATTGTAAGTATTTAATTTTTTAAAAGTTATCTCAGAATGAACTGCATATAAATAGTTGGTTAGCTGAGAAGTTTGTTCAAATTTCCTCAACCCATAGATTTGCTATGTGGGGGGGTGATATAAATTTTCTGATTTCTGTTTTAGAAGAACTAAACTGAGGATTTCATTTTCCATTGTCTGTTTAAAAATGCCTTGATCCTGGACATAGAGAAAGATGTTGTGAGTTATGATCCTACTGTCCACACCCATCCTGCCAACAAGGGGGTCCTGCCAACTTAGAACAACAAGGCAGCTGTTGCCAGCACCACCTTCTTGCCCCTCTTTCCTCTTTCTTAGTCATTCTGTCTTTTCTTTCCCCTTTTCTTCCTTTCTTTCTTTTCTATTTTGCCTGCTTTTGTTTTCCACCTATAGTACCATTTAAAGCTAAACAGCCTGCTTTAAATTAATTAATTTGGGTATAGTTTTAGAACCATGATAAAGGCATAATAGAATCATTCTCATTATAACTTGTGGTTTTAAGTCAAAGGCATGATATGCCAAGTTTGTTGCTTTGCGTTGCTTCGCCCCCCACGGATTTGTCACCCCNTCTTCCTGAATTGAGCATGAAATGCCATAGACTCCTTGGCTCTTATAATTGGAACAGAATTAGCACTTGCTTTGAACTTCTAGTACAGTTGTTTTGTTTTTATCAAGAGAGTATTTAGAGCTATTTTTTAATTTGTATTTAATTTTTGGCCATGTTTTCTTACAGTTTGTCATCATCCTACTCTTGGTTTTTGTCACAGAAGTTGTTGTTGTGGTTTTGGGATATGTTTACAGAGCAAAGGTATGTCTACTAGATTTACATAATGCTTTAAAAAGGCAGTTTAAGTTTTTCAAGTTAAGATAGAAGAAATCCATTTTATCATAGTCAACATTTTCTTTTGCCTTATTTCGGTTAACTACTGCTTTAAATATCTAAAGTTNAAAAAAAAAAGTCTACATCTAATAGATTTAAAAGTGATTGGAACTCCCATCGAATTATAACCTACTTAAACAATAGTGGGAAAATTTTACCAGCAGGGCTTAGCAACCAGTACTCTGACCTTGTTTTCTACAGGGGGCAGCTGGCATTTTATGCTACGTGGGAGCCTATGTCTTCATCACTTACGATGACTATGACCATTTCTTTGAAGATGTGTACACACTCATCCCTGCTGTAGTGATAATAGCTGTTGGAGCCCTGCTTTTCATTATTGGGCTAATTGGCTGCTGTGCCACGATTCGAGAAAGTCGCTGCGGACTTGCCACGGTAAGTTAGCGCTTTACTGACTCCATGTATCAGAATATGCAGGAATATTTATCTTAACCGTCTTCCTGAATTGAGCATGAAATGCCATAGACTCCTTGGCTCTTATAATTGGAACAGAATT